GGGGTCCGGCTACGTCCCTCTGCGCTGGAGTTGGGCCCTGGGGTTCCCTCCACTCTTAGTTCCTGCGCCTTAAGTTCTCTGGGGAAACATATGGGAACACATGGAGTTTTTTTTCCTCTTAAAAAGAAAAAAATAAGAACCCGAGGGAGAGCCGGCAGGGACAGCAGGACAGGGAAAGGTTAGACCTCGAGGAGCATTTCCCTGACCGAGACCAGGCTTCGGGGGTTTGGCCGGGGGTACCTTCTCCAGTTCCCTAGAAGTGGGCAGGGGCCCCAGGAGAGATGGTGGATTGAGAGCCATCCCCGAGAGCCCGAGGGCAGGGCAGGGGCTCGATGAAGTATGCAGTCGTCTGGGCTCCAGCAACATGCTCATGCCTGTCACTTCCCTGTGAAGTTTGAGACCTGCCGCAGATGTGGTGGGGATCCCAATACCAGTCTTAATAGTGGCCCAAGGCCACTCCCCCTACCAGGCCGCTCCCCATATGATGGTTTTCCCTTTCTTGCCCAATAGCTCTTCTATTCCTTTTTCAAGTCCCTTGTGGGCAAGGATGTGGTCGTGGAACTCAAGAATGACCTGAGGTAGGTACCTATTCCAAGTCTGTAGGGGGTGGGTGTGTCCAGGGCCCTGAAACCTTTAATTAAACAAGCATTATTTGAGTGCTGGGTGAGGCGGGGGAGAGAGTGAAGAAATAAATGACTTGTGCCTTAAGCTGACAGATTAGCTGTGGAGTTGTTTCTTGTATTTGAAAAAAATACAAAGAAATATGTAAATAAAAAGTACAGAGAAGTCAGAGAGTGGATGCATCAACATTTTTTACAAAATAAGCATCATTTTTTTTCTTATTAGATTATATACTCCTTTGACTCGACCTCTAGAAATGTAAGAGTCAGTTCCACAAGTAAAGATACACGTACAAAGATGTTTGTAGTTTTGTATGCAGTAGCCAAAAATGGAAAAAAAATAGCTATCAAGAGTGGGTGGGTTATGTTGTGGTACATCCGTATTACACAGCTGTCACACAGGAATGAGCTATATTGATGTGGAAAGCTGTTGCAAAATAGTATATGTGGCATAGTCTCCCTTTTGTTAAAGAAAATGTAAAGGATAAACACAAGACCAATCCCTTCTGTCTGTACTGCTCTTACATCCCCTACCCTTAGTATCATTAGCTGCTAATCATCTTTCAGAACTTGGATTAAATGCTGTATCCTTGGAGAGGCTTTTCCTGGCCTTTCTAGCCAAGTAGATCCTTCTATCATAGTCTTATTTTCTTTCTAGTGGGTGCTTCTCAAATTGTGATTTCAGAGAAATATGTTTACTGTTTATGGCCTGCCCTTCCAACAGGGCCAGGACAGTGCTTAAGCTCAGCATTGTACCTAGTGTCTAGCATAGGCCTGGTATATAGTAGGAGCTTAATTAATGTGTGCTGAAAGAAAAGCAGCTAACGTTTGAGAACCTCCTGTTGACCAGGCACTATTCTGAATGTTTATTAACTCATTTAATTCTCATAATACTCCTGTATGACATGTACTATTGTTGCTGTTTTACATGTGAGGCAATTAAAGATTGGATAGGTTAAGAAACTTGCTCGTCTATACAGCTAGTAAGTGACACAGCCAGAATTGAAATCCAATTTTGTCTTAATTTTTTTATTATTATTATTGATTTGAGAGAGAGGAAGGGAGAGAAACATCAATTTGTTGTTTCACTTATTTATACATTCATCGGTTGATTCTTGTATGTGTCCTGACGGGGGATCAAACCTGAAACCTTGATGCATCGGGTTGGTGCTCTAACCAACTGAGCTACCCAACCAGGGCCTTTTTTTTGTTTGTTTTTAAACTTATAAACAAGATCATATTCTCAGTGTAGTTGTGAAACTTGCTTTTCACTTAAACAGATGTTGTGTCAATAAAGTTTATCTTTAACATTATTGATGTCTGTATGGCATCTTTATTAACCAAGGCTTTGCTATTGGACACAGGCGGTTTCCAATTCTTTAGGAAAAAATCCTTTAAATGAGATGTACATTTAAAATAGTGAAGATTAAAAAATATCGATACCTGCCCTGGCAGGGTGGCTCAGTTGATTGGAGGGGCGTTGTGCCATACACTGAAAGGTTACAGGCTTGATCCCTGGTAATGGCCCTTGTGGGAGGCAACCGACTGATGTTTCTCTCTCTCTCCTCCTTTCTCCCTCCCTTCATCTCTAAAAACCAATAAAAACAGCCCTGGCCTGTGTTTCTCAGTGGTTAGAGCATTCACCAGTGCACCAAGGGGTCAAGGGTTTGAGTCCCAATCAAGGGCACGTACTTGGGTTGCGGGTTCAATCCCCAGCCTCAGTTGGGGCAGGTGCAGGAGGCAATCAATGTGTCTCTCACATCAATGTTTCTCCCCCCCCC